CTTGGAGGAAGGAAATCTTTTCCACGGATCGAGCTTCTTCCTTTTTTAAAAGAGGTGGATAAGAATGATCATGAATTTACCACAGACACAAATCTTGCAAAGTACCCGACGAAGTTTATCAATATGTGCCAGACCTCTGTTTTGAATAACGAAATACTGGAAAGTGATTTTAAATTACTCGTTGCATCATTCATTTCAGCTGAAGGTACGATTGAGCACGAGGTAATGAATGGAGTATTTAAAACTCTGGTTTCCAAGCTGGCCAATACACAAATCAACGAATTCATGAATGCTAAAGTTGAAAGAGACCTCAAAGTTTCTGGGAAAGTTGTTCACGCAGACGAGATGTTACGGCTGAAACTTAAATCATATTCTTTGGCTGCCAAACGTAAGTAGATGAACTTGCAGCTGGCCATGTAATTAAGACTGAATACTGCGTTTACATTGACAATAATATTTTTTTGGAAGCCACAATGTTATGAAGGGATGGCTGGAACAGAGACCAAGTGATGATTTCAGTTTTCCTTTAATTCTAAGGAGGTTTACAATCGCATCTAAGTACGAATTTTACATTATATTCAGTAAAATATTGCAGTTAATGAAAGAAAAAGTGGATGTGTGCTTTTTTCAAAACCTGGCAATAAACAGAGCTGATTGAGTTCTTATGAGTCATCATAAATCAGTTGAACTGGGCTAATAGTGTGCTCCAGAGCTATGGATTATTTTGAAATAAGGTTGTCTATTTTTATTTTGCATTTCATTTTTCTCATTATTATTTATAGGCTCAATATTCAGTGTGGGGTTCTATTCTTATAATCAAGTAGCTGACAGACAGCTTTCAACAATATGTGAGAGGTTCATATACTGTAGATAAATTCAGTACTGAATCAGTAAAATCATAACTATTTCACAACCTATAATACATGTACCACACTATTTGTGGCTCTGGTTCTTCATGAAATGCAATAAAAATATTTTTTGAAATCTGACTTAGATCAAGTACTGAATTCTTACTTAGTTTGGTATGTGACAATGAATCTCTGACAACACTACTTTGAAATACTTAAATTCCCACCTACTTCTTTCCTTGCCCCACCTACTTCACAAAGTAGAGAGCCTTGGGAAAAACAGTCGAAATATCGACAAAAACACAACCCTCTGGTTTATTACTTCATTGGCATACAAAAGAAGAACTGCATCAATATTATTATTTGAACAGGAATGTTCTTCAACAATGCTGTAGTTTATGAACAGGCTCCAGAGTGGGGAAAAGCAAATTTGCTGTCCTCCCTAGTCTTTGCATGGCTCCCTTCACAAGCTGATTTCTCTTTTCACTTTTCCCACTTAGGAGCCTGAAATCCACTTGCCTTCTATATTTATTACTTAAAAATACTGAACAGCATTACATTTTTTATCACTTGACGTTAAAGAGCAACATGAAGTTTGGTTATCAACTTAACAATAATATGTAACAAGGAAAGAGGAAGCAGCTCGAACAGATAAAACTAGCTGCACTACCAATATTAACAAACAACTTGCAAGCCACAATCAGCGAAAAAATTGTTGAGACATTGTAATTAAATAGGGTAATTTCGGAGAACAACAGAATCCGCACCCCTCCCCTGTCCCCTCCATTCAAAGTTGGGGTGCTTGTTGTTTTCTATAGGCAGCTAGAACAAGGGCACAACATTGCACAGAGGGGATGGGAGAGGAAAGCTATATTTTCTCCTTTTGAAGTTAATAAAACGTAAAAAAGCCCAGTTTTGGGCGAAGTGTCTCAACTGATTTTGTCGGCGATTGCAGGTTTAATAATTTTTACCAATGCCAAGACAGCAGAACTAAAGCTGTTAGCAAGCAAAAGGTAGAACAGCTGTCAAGTGGAATAGCTTCATCTTCATTTCCATCATCTGTTGCATCTTCTTCCACAACAAGGTTAGTGGTAGATCGCCTGGGTTGAATATATGGTTCAAACCAAACTAGAAACCAGTACGTCTCATTCGTGTCAGTGTTGTCATCTACCACTGACTGAGTATCAGTCCCACTGACTTCAGGTTTCCGCATCCTTTCCTGCAAATTTTTAACCCCCACATTCAATTACAATTCAGAGAACCCCATCTCTATAAAAGCTTAAACTTCTGTAGATGTTTTCAGAGTTTTGTCTGACATTGTAAATAAATACCTTTTTAAGTGTCAGACTAGGACAGCAGTAAAATAACCACTAAATGGGGACCCTTCAAGAAATAACTAACTTCTTACAACACTGAAAATACCAAGGCTATTTACATATGTATGTGTGTGTTTTTAACTATAAAATAAAAATGACGATGTTGAGATGTGACTAACATTATGCTAACACTATTACAAATGCATATATGTGGAAGTAAAAGAATACTAAAATGTCTATCACGAAATACATAGGCTTCTGCCATATTGCTTTTGATATTTTCGCATGTGGTCAAGGTCAAAGTGACCTATGATTGGTCTATGGCCTTGTGCTTATGCTTATGTTGCCAGTGTTTTCACTTGATTACACTTGTGCCTATGCTTGTCCACTAGTGAAAACCAGGCTTATATTTGCCAACATTCGCAAGAGGAAGTTTGCCATTAAAAAAATGAGAAGCATAAGTATGACGTCAGATTGCGGACATAATCTACAGTCGTTCTACATAGGGTTGGTGAACTATCCTTGGTAGGGTGGTGTGGTTTCTTGTAGGGTGGGTTACTGTAGGTCGAGGCACTTTTTCAATTTCGTCGTAGGATCGCCCTGTTCTTTGCAGGGTGGGTCACTTTATCGTAGGGTCATTGTGTTCATTCTAGAGTGGGCTAGTTTGTATTAGGGTTGGGCTGTGCTTCGTAGGGTAGGTCAATCCGTCGTAGGGTCGTTCTCCTCTTCGTAAGGTGAATCCTTTTTCTTCAGCCGGGTTCCTTGTTGTTTCTTCACAGGGCCGCTGTCAATAAAACTGTCCAGTGGTAGTGTTGCTCCATCTTGGCGAAAGAAATGGTTGTCTTACATGAAGTTCCTATTTAGCTTCTTTTTTATGGCTATTTCATATGACTTTGCACAGTGAATGGTAATATGTTCTTGTGACTCAAACCACTTCATCCACCTACTCTGCACCTTCGTGAACCGCATACAACCTCACTATACAACTTTCTTCAAGCTTTGTTCCCTTTGCTTTCATGTCTCATTAAGCCCATTGGGCCTGAAGAGTTTGCTTTTTTGGTGGTATGGGAAGCTTAACCTGCCAAATACCGGCTGCTCTCAGGGCTACATCAAGCACAAATTAAGTGCTATCATCTAGACCTAATGGTGTAGGTCGAGCGCCTGAAATGATTGACTATCCAGGTCGCACCCTCCAGAGCCACAGCTGAAACTAGGCTAAGGAACGGCGCGCTCAGTCCAAGCCTTTGTAATGCCGCAGCGGATCTAGTGTCTAGAAGCCCCCTACAATTCATAGCCAGAGCCTCAAAGGCAATGTGCCTAGGCTCAAAGCATAGTTGGACCCACTGTCTAATGGCTGGAACATCATAATAGACACACTTGTCATTGTTGGTCGTTTCAAGGTCTGGATTGTCTGCAAACATTGTAACGTCCAGTGTTGTTAGGTCACTATTGTGTACTGGGACTAGGTGCAGCCTTCGAATACCTGCTGGAGTTGGCATCGCTTGTTCATGGCGGATACTGTACCCGATCTTTTCTGCACCAGACATTACCAGAAGGTAAGGTTGTCGTGCCTTGCAATGCGCATTGCATGAGTCCAAAGCATGGAAAAAGGTGGTGGAAGTGTCCTTCGGTAGTTTAAGCCAGGACCTAACAGCAGATCGCATAGTTCGATCGAGCCATTTCAAGTACTTGGAGGATGACGGTGTCAGAGTAAGCTGGTGGAGTAGCTTGGGAACCAGATGGCAACTAGTGATATATAGCCTCTGTTGCAGCTTCAGCAGGGCTTTAGAGATGTTACTCAGCCCCTGCTTCAGCGTATCTGCAACGGTCGCCCTTGTACTTTGTGGGGAGATGTTCAGGCCTAAGTACTTGTAAATTTGGTTAACAGTTGGTATTAGTTAACAGTTGGTATTAGCTCTCCCTGCTTGCTCAAAAAGGCTCCTGCACTCCCATAGGAAGATGAGTTGGAGGATCTTGTCAGGCACTGCGAGATCCGTTCCTATTGTACTCCTGCTGTACCCAGGTGTACTGTGTCCTGCACCTGACTCTAGGTTGATCCTGGGCCCCGGTCTGCTGGGGCTTGGGACAGGGACCTGGCGGACGCCTGTCGCGAAGCAGCAACCAGGACCTGTACTCCTCATCAAACGCATTCCTCGCCCGCTCGTCTGGGCAATTGGGCACTATTTGATCTAATAACACTTCCGCCAAGTCTAATTGAGCTCCCTCCAGCGCCTTCCTCAAGGCATCTGACCACCCTCACAGCTCAACAGAGTGATTTGTTTGGGGCCCGAGAGCCCCGATCTCAGGCTGTTCTTGTGTAACCTGGGATGGCGTTGATGGTGAACCGAAGGTGGCTTGTGCTTCAGGGGAGTCACCCCCGTCCACCCTACCAATGGCACAAACTGAAGAGGAAGAACTCCCCCCAGCAGGGCCGTCGTGCGTTCCATGGGTGCTGTTCAATAATTACAAGATTCTCTTATACTCCTCCGACCGCCGCATTTTCTTAATTGCTTCAGAAGATCAACCTGGGAGCTGTTCTGCCATGGTCTTACTATTGACCACAATTCCCGCCTCAAGGATTGTGGTCTCTTCCCTCGCCAAGAGAACCTTTTTCTCATAGTCCCAGCGTGCTTTCCTCCTTTGCTCAGGCACATGATCTTTATGGTAGGCCTCCAGGTGCATGCGCTGACAATGGAGAGAGACCCCCGCTTTGCCCTAAAAGTCACAACTGTAGTTGGGACATGGCAGGAGACCTGCACCACCGGCCACCCTTTGAGCAGGTCGAGCATCACTAGGAGTGCCCACTGTGGCAATTCCTCCATGTCTTGTATTTGATCTCATAGCAACGCAATAATCTCCTAGGGGTTGCTAGCCCCCAGGAGCTTAGAGCAGCTTTAGCTTCACCAACCAGTATTCACTGCCGCCAGCTGGTGGTAAAGCTCATCGTCCAACGTTGGACAAGCCCGCAAGGCCCAAAGGACCAGTGCACTATACCTCACTCACATAAGTCACAGAGGGCTTGTAGGGCAAGCTCACAGCCCAGATGTTAGCCAAAAGGCATGATGTAAAAGCCTGGCAGGGCAAGATCACAGCCAAGGCAAGATATTATAAGCCCAGGGGCCTCAGGCCACCGGCTGGGCAGTGGCATTCAGCCCGTCCCGCCAATGTCCATGGGCAGTATATGACCCCCACATTTATGTAGGACTATTCGTCTTAACCATGCCTATTACAAAACACAAAATTATTCACAGCTGAATCAAGAGCAACACAAGCCAGAGGGACTTAGCCCTTGATATATATATGCGAGTGGGAGGCTACATGATCCCCCGGGCCCAGCAGACCAGGCCCACGCCAGGCGCGGTTGTGTAGACTGGGGGTAGGATGCACCGGCCAACTAATAGGGACTCCCACCACGACAAGGCAGCACCCTTAAGAGAGGTGTATCTTCTTGCCATGGTTTTTCACCCACATAGTTAGAATGGCGAAAAAAGTAAGCAAAGTCGTTTTGATTTTAAAAGACGCCATCCCCGAAATAGAAGGGGAAAATAGGCTCAATAGTCAAGATGCTTAACATCAACCTTCAACAACTCCTTCAAAATCCTCTTTTCCTTTGTCGGAGGTTGTAGCGAAAGATTTGAAGTAAGTTTGTTCATGAATAGTTTCGTCTTTGATGTCCCAATCGGACTGGCTAGGGACGCTTTGTTGAATTTCTTGAATGTCCAGCCTGCCCTTAAATATGTAGGTTAATTTTTTGTTAACATTTATTTCAGATGAGCCTTCCCTTCTCTTTCTGGTGGCCGGAAAAGGCCATTCCGCGGTCATGCAAAGAAAGGAAAGAACAATGTATCATTCTTTATCCATCCAAAGGAAACATGGACTCGAGACTTTTGCTTGTTGGCAAGTCCCAATCAAGATATTTCTCTGTTGCTGGATGAGTTAGGAGAGTTACGAGAAGCGGGCTTGGAATGTCGTAAAATAGTTTTCCCTTTTAAATCTGGAGATTTCAATCATCTTCAAGAGACGGTTGAGAAGGAGTTTACAAAGTTAAAGACCCAAAACGGTGCATTTGAGTTGTTAAGAGCAGAATCAGGAGGCATATCAAGACCCCTAAAGCTTCTGTCCATGCCAAGTAATGGCTATAGTATGCCGTACTTAAAGAACCTAGTGGGCGCCAGTACAGTTATCTACATTCGTCCCATGAACAGCAGTATTTCTAGAGAAAAACTTCCACAGGTTGTAACTGCCTCATCACCGTTTACGAGTGTCCAAAATGTGACAATCTCATACCAATTTTCAGTTTTAAGACAATATGTTTCTGTTTGCCCAGCCACTGAAATCGAAGTTGATGATGATAGAGATAAAGACGTAGAAGTGCCAGTATTTGATACAAAGTCAATTTCAAGTGTTGAGAAAAGCGATCAGCTGGAGGATGTCAAGAGCAACAATGAATGTTCTGCTGCTAAACAATGTCAGGCATCCACGTCAAAAGGCACATCTGTCATAGATGATGGAGTGGTTACATTGCTGAAAATCTTTCCTGATCATGATACAGAGACTGTTAGAAGAGCCTCAGTGCCACATGAAAGAATTGACCTAGCAGCTGATGCACTGAGTACAAGCAGTGACTAACAGTTTCACCAGTGAGAAGTTGCAGAAAGCAAAGTTCTTTGCACATGATACATTAAACTTGAGTGCTACTAAAGTGAATTTCATGAATTTCCTTTTTGAATTGAAAAAGGTTTTTCAATCAGAAAAGTGGTTTAAAAAAAAAAAAACGTATAATAACAGTCCAAAAATGTCTCAGATCGGAGCTCAAAGAGTACTTCCTAACTGCGTCCATTTCGCAAATTCTCAGCCTTTGAAGTTCTCAGCCGTTGACAACACTTGTGATGTCACATGGTTGACTTCAAAAAAGAACATCGCTGTAATCCACAGTAAATCTTGGAGTTCTTGGCGACTTTAATTCGGCAAATACATCTTAACCTGCTACTATATCTTATGTAATGTCTAGTTCTGAAGATTGGGACTCCAACTCGAGTTCTAGGAATTTTTCGGAGGCAGGAGAAAGCGAAAATTTTTGCTGTATGATTTGACCAAGACCAACTTCATTTTAACAGCAGTAATGCTCCGATATTATTGGCAATATCTAAGCAATAATTTCAGATGTAAAAGTCCTTTGTAAGAATTAAAAGAAAAAACCTGAAAATAATATTATGTTGATCACTCTACCTTCAATTTTGCCAACTTCACTCAATGTTATTATTTTGTTTTAGATGGTGTTGGTGGAGGGAAGGACAGTGGTTTGTTAAAAATAAGACTCCAAGTGCTCTAACTCATAAAAAGCTTTAAACTTTTCTTCTTTCTTAGCAGCTGTCGTGCCACTGCATACCGCTTTCTTGTACGACGGAGATTTGGGCACCTTGGTTGACACAACACTAGACCACTTCCTGCCTGTATATACAACAGAATTAGGCAGAAGTATCAAACTGCCTCCACCAGAGGTTACAGCTCTGCAGAGCAAAAGCAAAACTAAGCAACAAAGTAAAAACTCTGTAACGGCTCTTTTAGGAGCCACCTCATTTTACAAAAGTCATGTACTCAGTGCTTTGAAGTTGTTGATCTTTTATTTTCCAACGTTTTACATTCATATACTTCAGTTCAAGCCTTGGATTGTTTCTCTACACACTTGGCTTGTACAAAACCAAATGGCAAACCATGGTCTTGCAGTACATCTCTTATAGAAATTAACATTTCATCAAGTATATCAGTGGTTGTAAAAAATTCAACAGCTATCAAGTTAATGACATTTTTAGTGTTGAAATAATACACCTTAACAGAACAGATTGGTATGTTTTCGCTTTAAGGCTAAATATAATTTGAATACTGTCTAAAAAATTGTCCAACGTCTCAATCACTATGTACATGCCATGATGAGATTAATACGGTAGCAATATATTGCACATCTGGTGTAAAAGACTATTTTAGTATTTTTCAAAATGGCCTACTACCATGGTAACATTATCATTGTGTGCTGTACATCCTCATTTTTTCCTCAGCCCTGCACATGCAAGATCCTTGTATCCTTGTCTTAGTTAACATTTCTTAATATCTATTGTGACAAGTGTAAATATAGTACAATTTATTCTTTAGTCTCTAAAAATGGTTTAAAATAGAAGATAAAATCATTATATCCAGATTGCCTCTTCATCAGAAGAGCCCACAGGTTGCTCTGTAACAAATCATCACTTTTGGTCAGCAAACACAAAAGGTTGTATGGACTATGTGGTACGGTAACAGGAGGTATCACTTTAGTGGTCAAGGACCTCTAACTTTTGTTTTCTTAGTCTTTATTAGCTATTTTAGAATAAGAAACCTGTTTGTAAATATAATAACATTTTCCATGATAAACACAAACAAAATTTATTTACTAAAGTTTCTTTTGTTATCCAACAACAGTATTTGTATGATCATGGACTGTCATATGTGTTTAGGTGTTACTGGCACCAGAACAGCTTCCTCTTGCATGGTTTTTGATGGCAGCTTGCACTTTCTGCATGTAGGAGTTTTTCTTTTCTTCTTGGCGGGCTGTTGGTTAGCATTGGTGCTTGATGCCTGAAGTTCACTTTGAATTTCAACTGCAAGTATAATATGTTCATTTAATGTAGAAAAAATCGAATTTTTTGTTGATATAGTGTTCTTTTGGTAGAGGGTGTAATATTAATACCTTCTAGATTTAGGGTTGTATTTAAGAGGCAGGGGCCTGGGATTCCTCCAGGCTAGTTCAGTATGAAGTTTGCCTCTGGCTACTTGTATAGAAAAAAAGAAAAATAGAACCAAAAGAAACCCCTAGCTGTTTGATTCTCCGCGTACTTGCTGTATTTATCCTGCAACTTGAAATTTTAGTGACAGCCCTGTAGAATTGCATACCAGAGCTTGCCGACCCTTACTTAGGCAAACGTCCAGAAACAAAACATTGACCACTGTGTGATGGGTAGGGCTTGAATCTTTCATCTTTAATCTTTAATCACAGTTCGTAACCATACATAACTGATACAAATGAACTAATACTAACATATAGAATCGAACAAAATACGAAAATGGTTAACAGGACGGTAGTAGGGGGAAACCAAATTCCCATGCTAAGAGATACCCTCCAAAAAAAAAAAAGGAAAAAAAAATTAATTAATATATAAACATAAATATTAAAATACAATAAATTAGACTATAAATTATAAACCTAGATGCCTAATAATAATGCATAAACTTATATTAAAGATACTATGCCTAGTATTTTAAGGTAAATTATAAGCGAAGGTACTTAATCAGTGAGACTTTAAAAGACTGAAGGCTAGGAGATGACATTACTTCAGAAGGCAAAGAGTTCCAATCATTAATATAAATTATATATGAAAAAATGAATATTTAAAATAATTTGTACGGCAACTTTAGGCCTTATTTTATACTCATGCTTACTTCTAGTTCGAGTTATTCCAATAATATCAAAGTTGGGTAAAAGTGAAGAACAGCTCACCTCCACCGACTGTTGGCCAACTGTCGGCCGACAAGTTTTTCCACAGTGGTAACGATCTGTCGGCCGACTGTCGGCCGTCTGTTGGTAATCTGTCGGTAGACTGTCGGTTGAAATTGTGATGACAACTTCGAGATTTGTAATGAAAGCTTTGAGACTTACATGGTATAAATAAATATTAAACACATACCCTTCTATTTTCTTAAGCATAATCTCCATCGAGACTTTCTTTCTCGTTTTTCTCGTTAGTGTTTGTTGTTGCTCAGCGATGGTCTTTTTCGCCTGAGCTAGTTTGTTTTGCAGGGTTTTTATGGCCTCCGACTTTGTTCTGACGAGGTTGGCCAGCTCCTCGGCGTCTTTGGTGGCCTCGTCTAATTTTTTCTCCAGTTCTACCGATTCTCTGAAATATAAAATAAGAACGTTAGTGAAAGTCAATAATATGTAGACCGGCATTTAAAGGAGCCGTGTCACATGCATTGCGCATGCTCCATTCTTTGAAAAGTGTTCAGCCCAACAAGAAATCAAACTGACGCGAATCCTCACAAATCAAGTGAAAATCTGTTTCCATCGTCGCTAATCGGTGTTGGTTTTGTATTTTATCTATATATTTAAATTATTTAGACATAAGGCTTTCGTGTTAGAGTAATTTTTTGGAGAATTGTGGAAATCCTAAGGGCTATTTAGCGCTCCAAGCGAAGGATGTCGGCTCGAGGCGGTAAACGCTACGGCAGTGGCCGTAGGCTCTTGTCACCTGGAAGCTTTGTTAGGAGCATAGAGAAGAGATCTGACTCTCGGAGTTCGTGGCTCAAGTCCCATGGAAGGATTTACGTCCACCGTGACATTCTGGACACATTTAAAACGCTGAAAGCTCAGTGTGTCTTCTCCACCGACAGTGCTTTCTTGCAGCATTTGTTGTCGTTTGAGATGCGAAGGCAACAAAGGTGAGAAAATAAGACTTCTACATTTATATTGCTTTTTAGTCTAAGCTGCAACGTCGAATCTAACTACCTATTAAATATTACTTTATTTTAACAGTTTAAAAGCCAAGCAAGCCATGAAGAAGAGTACGGAAGAGTCAAGTGCAGTACAACAACCCCAAGCAGGTAACTAGCACGAGATCGATCTGGAATCCCTGTTCAGGGACTTCTTTTTTATGTGAGCAGTGCATGTGGCCGGAACATTTATGGACACAGTCCATCGGGATTAATTCTGTCTTCATTGAAATAAAAGTTGTAATATGTTGCATATTGTTTTGCAGATGATTCTAATTTCCACACCTCGACCCCTGTGAAAAGAAGCAAGTATGACGGTTCTGTCATTGCTCCACCAGTGGAAAGTCCAGTTGCTGGAATGGCTGGTGACAATAGGTAGGTGGTCATTTCGGTATTGATTTTCTGTTTCCATATTATTTCACATATCTGTCTCGGACATAACGGTGAAGAGCAATTGGAAGTTCTTCCTGTGATAAAAATTTTAGATGCATCAGGTTTTCATTGAGTGAATGTCTGAACATTCAATAAATCATGATGGATGAGGAAGAAAGTCTTAGTAACTATTCTTTCAAGTAGTTCAGTTTGGTATTTCCTTTTGCTTTCTTTCTTTCTTTCTTTCTTTATTTTTGTGCATGAGAACCTCTGTCAGCAAGGTATAACAGTACTTTTAGAGAGATGTTAATTGCAAATCTGCTGCACCTTTTCCACAGTGACATTGACATCACAGGCACTGACCACTCTGAGGTGACCTCAAATAGTGACAGTAGCAGCAACTCTTCTGCGACAGAGTCGTCTGCAGAAAGTGAAGATGACAACTGCTTCTTGTAAGTATTAAAAAAGCACGTTGATCTTCCCAATAATTTCGAAAGGTGGTGTTCTGATCATTGCCCCTCTTATGTTTTGTTTTCATTGAACCAATAATACAATACTACTACTATAATAATAGTATATGATTGTTTTAGTATGTTTCTTTGTCATTGCTACACACTCGTATTCAGCAAAACAAAATATTAGTAATGTCTTGAACCAAATTATAAATATGCTACCAATTCTTGTCACTAGATTAGTACATGTGGATTGAATTTTCTGTTTACAAATATGCCGTGCAATGACTTGTTTTTCAGAATTGTGTCTGCACTGTCTGATGCTCTGTGCAAGCTTGTTGCCGATGCTGATGAGGCTTTCAGCTCCAGTGATGACAACGATGAAGATTATTGGGGGTAAGTTTCTCTAAGATAAATTCATGATGTGAAGGATGTAAAACTAAGCTATGAATTAGTTTAAACAGTTTCCACCATCTACCATCTACCTTGAGTTTTTAGGATTTGCGTGATTGGAGAATTTTGTTTCTTAGTTAGTGGATAGTGATAAACAATACAATTTATCAAACTCAATAAGGAAAGGTTTTAATTGGTTTTCATTGTTTCTGCTTATAGTGAGGAGAGTGATAGTGAATGTGATTTGGACATGACACAGGAAGAGAATGCTGCCATTGAATTTGAAATATCTGGGGTGTTGGATGAAGAAAGTAATGATGATGACATTGGCAAGCAGCCATCAAAAGAGCCTGTAGTAGTCTCAGTATCCACTCAGACCGAGGACCCAGTGGTGCAGGCTCAAGAAGAAAGACCAGTGCCCACAGCTGTACCAGCCATACCATGTGTGGTTGGTCCTCCTCGAGAAAATAAATTCAGTCGCTGGGAAGACCACAAGGAATATCCAGATGAAATAAAGCTTGTACAAGGCACTAAGGTTTTATGTGCTCTTGACCTCCTAATGCAGGTGTTTGCAGACAAATGCCAACATCCTGGGTGCCAGCAGCAAACCAGGGTTGATCACACTCTTTGTGGCACCAGTGTGTTAGTAAAATGGACTTGCCCTCTTGGGCATAAAGGCAGGTTTTGGTCGTCTAGAAAAGTTAATGGTATTCTCGTCAATAACCTCCAGACCTCTGCTGCCATATTGTTGTCCGGTTGCAGTTTCATCAAAGTAGCTAAGATGGCTAAGTTCCTGGGCCTTTCTTTCTCTTCCAAGTCCACCTTCTTCAGGGTGCAGAGGCTTTATGTGATTCCTGCTGTAACAGAATGGTGGAAGTGGCAACAGGAAATAATATTTGAGGAGTTGAAGGATCAGGACCTTGTTGTTGCAGGTGATGGTCAATGTGACTCCCCTGGATTCACGGCAAAGAATCTTTGTTACTACCTTATGGATGTAACAACATCATACATAATTGAGCTTGAGGTATTGGACAAATGTGAGACAAACATGAAGTCAGTCACGATGGAGAAGCAGGCTCTTCAAAACATTCTTCTTAGGCTTAGAAGATTGTTGACGATCACTGAAGTTGTAACCGATGCATCAGCAAGTATAAAAAAACTGATAGGTATGATACACTGAATAATGAGAAGTTATCAGTCATACAAAGAAAAGTTACTTTGTTTTTATGAAAACTGCATTTTGTGTACCAATATATTATTATTATTACTATTATTATTAATATTGTCACTATTACTGGCAAAAATTCTCATGAGGAAGAAAAGCAATGAAAAGAGAATCAATGATATTTAGATACTGTGGCGTTGAAATTTGTGGTTGAAGTATGCCGGGAGAGTACGTTAATAGTTTTGTATTAAAACCATAGAGCACCCAACCTTGAAATATGTTTTAGGTTGTGCTTTTCTTGTCAACTTTTTTTCTCATCAATTGAACCAAACCATCAATGGGTTAGCTGTCTTGTCATTTCCATATTCTTACCCAAATTTCTGCTGTTATTTACAACTTATGCTTTTTGCCTGTGGGTTTTCAATGCTTTCTATTTATCAGTGAACTCAAGTAGATTACTTTGTATTTTCTAAACATACTAAACTATTTTCCTTGTATTCTAGCTGATGCTTTTAGACAGATATTCCACTCACTTGATGTCTGGCATAAGTCAAAAGGAATCCGGAAGTGTCTTTCAAACGTGAGTAAGAGTTGATATTATATTAATTTTACAGTGGCCACAAAGAACATATTTAGTGTAATTCTTTCTAATATGTGACTCTGTCCCATGTATTGGCAAGACTCTTTCCTATAAATAGAACATAAACATGCATTGTGTTGTCACTTGTAAATACGCCCATGTAGTATACTTCACTGTTGTATATTTCCAGGATAATCAAATCATATCTTTAACCAATGGGCCAGGAATGGACTAAGGAATGTTGTTATTATAATCTGTAGAGAATTAAATGCTCAAAGTTTGACAATGATGATTGGACTGTTAATGTAGGTTTATTTTTTTGAGTCGTTGCATTTATCTCTGCCAGAGAAAAAAATTTAAGGCTTGTTATTGATCTTCTGTAGGTAGGAAGTGCAAAGGGGATGGAAAAAGTGGCCCTTTGGTCTGACCACATTGTTAGACACTTTTGGCACTGTTGCAGTCTGGCATCTGAAGTGGAAGGCAATGAGCTAGAAGCTCTGAAGATATTGAAGGTAATTCCAATTTATCATCTTTTTTAAAGTAATTAAAAACAGGGCTGTCGGTAAGAGGTGATGGGTCTATGTGGCCCCCAGCTACACTCAAAGGAAAATAGAAGAAAAATGGAATCAAACGAAACCCCCCGTTGTTTGATTCTCTGCCTACTTATTTTATGAACCCAGCAACTTGAAATCTTAGTGACAGCTCTGAATTTTTTTTTCTGAGACTTTTTTGAAAATTATCACATTATATTATATCAGACTGTAAACACTTTGCTTCTTCACAATGTTTTAGGGTCTGTTTACATGGAGGTGGGGGACCTCTGATAGGTGAGGTAAAATGTGGTGGGTCACCCCATCTCTCAAATTAAAATGAGATATTATATGGACAAGCGGGATACTCCACCAAAGCGTGTTACCTCACCTATCTGGGGTTCCCTACCTCTATGTAAACAGACCCTATGTCACTATCATCTTGTTATATATGTTTCAATGAAATTTTACTATTATGAAATCAGGATACCTGGATCTCACTATTACACCATGTGTGCAATCAACATGAGTGGGCTGATGGCCATTGTGACCACGAGCCAATCACTGAGGAAAACCACCAGCTTCCATGGTTTGACAGGAGATCCAAAGAGTTTGAGGCACTGCAAAAAATTATCCTGGATCCTGACCTTCTTGAAAGTTTCAAGTACTACACCAGATTCAGGTATATAAGGGGAACCCTGTTTTCATAAGAAAGACTAAATATATATCTTATTTCAATACGTAGGTTTATTCAAATATAATGTTTATGGATGAATGGTATGGTCTTCAAAGAAAAAATATTTTGGTTTGTATTCCTGTCTGCTTGGTCCTTGGCAAAAGAAATGTATGGAGGAAACTTAAAAGAAGAATGTATTAATGAATACTATGTCAATAACTCCGGGCAGCCCCATTCCTTAAACTAAGCTCAGTAACGTAAACGTTGTCAGGCTTAGGCAAGGGTTTATTTTTTATTGCCACTGTGGACCTTGTGAAAACCTTCTTAAGGTGTTGGTCAGCCCCTAAATGCCTTTCTATGTCAAGCTCAATTCATTGTCATTCTTTAATTATTACATGTATATTTAACCATGTTTTTCAAAAATATTTATTTTACTTTTAGGCATACAGGCGCATTAGAACGAGCCAACTCTCTGTCATTGATGTATGCCAGCAAGAGAATTTCCTACACGTAAGTAACGACACTTCATAGTTTTAAAAGTTCATAGTATTTATATTATCTGTAGCCTATAGAGAAGCTCAAATTGTTGTATATGTTGTAGTTAATTTTTTATCTCAGGTAATTTTTGTTTTTCTTTTGTTTTTGGGTATGGTAATCTATGCTAATGAAGTTGAAACAAAAGAAAAATAAAAATTACCTGAGATAAAAAATTAACTACAACATATACTTCAAAAAATTGCACTGTGTGAACAAAGATCTCATGGAACACTGTCTATTTTGATCAATTGTTCTTTTTAGGAAGAAAGTCTACAAAGCAAGAAAACAACTAGCTGCCATTGGCTGGAACTATCACCTCGATATTCCTGAACAAGAAGATGTGCTAGGCGAGGTGGCTGTGACCCGGAAGTACAACCAAAGAACAAAGAGTTGGAATGTGAAAATTGTAAAGCAGGCCAAAGACAATGGTTATATTTGGATGCTTCTGGCTAAAGTGTTTCGTCTACGTGTGGAGGATAAAGAAAATATGCAGAGGGTGGTCCCAATGGAAGCTGATGACCCAAGGAGGATAGCCCCTACCATTGCTGTGGTGCCACCCCCACCTTCACGCGAGCTCTTTATTCAGGACAGCAGCAGGTTTAAGAATAACTAGGAAACATGATGTAAAATATGTAATGAATATGGAACCTTTATGTATTCATGTGTGGTGTAAGAAAATATTCATCAAAGAAGGACTGTCATGTATGATGCACAATAAATCTCATTGTCTCTGGCGCCTATGACAGTCGATGCTGCAGCATTCGTTACACCAGCTGTACGATTTTGGACAAAAATTTGAGGTAAGTTCTTCGCTGAAGTTCCATACACACTCGCTTCGCATGAGCTTCGCTTGAAGAGCGTTGTTTTCAAAATGTAGGAATTTGTCGTTTCGATCAGCCTTAATGCGATCGAAACTTGTATTCTAGTTGAAATAGAACTCCAAGTTTATATTTGTGTTCCTAAAGTTCGATTTATTGGGCCAATGGTATCCTTTTTTTTCATATTTTGCGATTTACTCAATGGGGCGCGTAACTCACGTGGGGACGCGAAGTTTCACGTGGTGACGCAAACTTTGCGTGGTTCTCCTAGGCAACGCAATTCTTTCGAATTTTTCCTTAGCAACGCCAGCATTATCTTTTTTTTAATGTAACTGTAGAGTTTTACAAAAAAAGTTCCCATTTCTTTCTTTCATTCATTTTTTAGCAAAGTTTGAAATATATTGTATATTTTTTTTTCACTTGTGTATTTGTTTTAGTTTTAGGATTGGTTAGTAAATGTAAATACCGGAGTAGATTGGTCCTTATTGAACTAGCCGTTGGAATCCGTTTTTGTGAGTCTAATTATCCATATCATAAAATTTGCTCGCACTGCCACAGTACAAATACAGCTGTAATGCTATTGTTTTCATGGGGCGGTATTCACAGGGGTACTTAATCCAGGACAATTTTTTTTGAGGGGGGTGGGGTTGGGGGTATGGCATGAGGTTGAACAAACCAACTGCAATTAAAACTTAATAGAAACCTATCAAAAAGTTATTTCCATTTTAGCGAGGTTTGAACCCCATGTACACCCCAGTTGAGGAAGGGTAGTGCTCTCGAATTTTCCATACACAGCATGAAGGGCATACCCTTCTTTTGTGTTTTCCAAGGTAGCCATATTCTTCAATTATATAATGACGATAGGCAGCCTTTCGGAAGGCTCTGCTGCTATTATCTTGACGGTCGTTTCTGATATCCCCTGAACACTTTATACTTAATTGTAAATAATCAGGGTCCAGGCATAGCTTGCGAAACCGTGCGCTAAGTGAGACACAGTCTCGAGAATTACAGCACCAGTTCTCAACCTCCTGCGACATTCTGCGGCAATGTCCACATTTGCACCACTCAGGCACTGGTTCACTTGACCTTGCCATAGATGCTGTTGGCCGTGGCCTGAAAGATGAGGGCCCACCTGAAGCTGATGTTCCAGATACGCTCGAGTCTGAGGCTGGGGTGGATGTAGGTGTAGATTGGGCAGGGTTCGGTGGTGCTGGACTTGACACTTCAGGTGGGGATAGAGAAAGGGAAGACGGTAGAGCGGCATCGTCATTCTCATCTTCTGGGTCCTCCTGG